AAGTAGGCCTTCATCTAGCAGTGGATTGATAAAGAGACAATAACGATCATTCGTTTGACTATACTTGTATTTGGTAGTGGGCATTGACTGTTTTTGTGTCATACTCTTTGAAAACGAAGCTATAAAAATTAGTTATCAAATATCTCATGTAATATTGAAATTCAATACCCTCAAAAGCCTCAAGATGCAAACTTTTGTAGGGCTAGGATCAATTATTAAAAAGTTAAAAAATTTGCCCCACAAATATTGTGGCACAGCTCAACTTCTGCAATGGGAAACAACCTCGCCTAGCATAGCCTCAGTACTGCTTGAATGCGCCAGTGGAATAGTGGGTATTATGAAACTGGATTAAACATTGTTTCTAAAAGTAACACACTCAGCTTACTTAATTGATTATTATTGTATTATTTTAACCATCATTACTTGTATCAAATACATGGTTATTTTATTCGTAGGTCGGCCAGATGCCTTTTCTTGCCTAGACTCTCTAGGCCTGCACTCAGATGAGAGGATAGCGTAGGGTCAGGCCACTCAGCTTATACTTAATTATACACATACTTGGGCCCTGGGTGAGTTTAATGGCCCAGTTATATGTGACTTTGTTCCAAAACAGAAGCAAAGAAATTGCTATAACATGAGATGTTGTGCAACATTTAAAATGCAACCAATTTTGGCCATTTCACTTCAACATTCCACACTTTACATGCCTAGGAAGGGACAATGGGCCCAGCTGACCTTTACTGAAATGAAATCATCACCTCAGAGTCATGAGTATGCTGGATCATAATAAAGGTTTTTGGGTTAGATCGCGTTTATTTATAAAATGTGTCGTAACCCTCCACCACCCGACACGGCCAATCAGCAAAAAAAGTGTCACGTTGACAAAAAGACAAATAATTCACTACTTTAGCCCACCGGTGTGTTGAAGAGTGAATCCACATTTACGCGATCTAACCCAAAAACCTTTATGAATATTGGTCGCGAAAGCCTACATGTTAAACTGAGTATGCTGGTTCTCTTCCAAAGAGCTCTCTCAACAAGTAAACCGAAACGTAAATAAAGATATTCTTATTATTTTATTGTTTCCCTTCTACGTGACTTTACCGAAAGAACCAAGAATATGAATCCCTGCAGTCACAAAAGCTTTAAATCAAAATGTAAATAAAGATGTCTGCATGAAGAAACGCAGCTTACAATAAAACCTAGAACTTAACCATGATACTTGGCCTTAAGAATGCAGGCATTGAAATGTCAATAGTGCCTTAGGGTGCATGTAAAATAACACTGTAACAACACATTCACAAAGTTAATGTTTCCACTTTAGGTGTGGCTGCAAATGCCCAACAATCAATTATGGTCCAGTCACCCAACTGTATAAAATTGTCCAAACAACATTTTGTTATAAGAGGAAACTATATCCTCGAACATTGTCAAAAGGAAAAAAAACATGCTTAACATTTACATCATTAGACCTCCTTTGCCAGTACCAAAATATAATAATCGGTTTTTCCCCTTTTTTCTGGCAACAAAACTGAAACCATACTCTTTGGTTCTATTGGGTAAAGCCACGTAGGTAAAAAAAAAATCACGACGTTTCGGCCACAACACAAGCGGCCTTCATCAGGTGAAGGGACGAGACTGTCTGGAGGACAGCAGACAGTCTCGTCCCTTCACCTGATGAAGGCCGCTTGTGTTGTGGCCGAAACGTCGTGATTTTTGTTATTTTATTTTTTACCTACGTGACTTTACCCAATAGAACCAAAGAGTATGGATCCTTGCAGTCACGAAAGCTTTAAATCTAAAACTGAAACCATTTTACAAGGAATCATGCGTGCATTAACCACAACACTTGTGGTCAAAATGCCAACAAAAAACGCACTCTGATACTATATGCATTGTCCTTGAAACTGATTGGTCCACACCAGAGACGGCTTTCTTTTGAGCCTCGTCTCAATTGGTGCTAGACCAGAGGACGCCAAAAAGCGTACAGCGTCCTCTGGTCTAGCATCAATTGAGACAAGGCTCAAAAGAAAGCCGTCTCTGGTGTGGACCAATCAGTTTCAAGGACAATGCATATATTATCAGAGTGTGTTTTTTGTTTGCATTTTGACCACAAGTATTGTGGTTAATGCACACATGATTCCTTGTAAAAAGGTTTCAGTTTTGTTGCCAGAAAAAAGGGGAAAACCCCTATTATTATAGGTAACATTTTTCTTGAGATGTTCGCTCAGTAACAATACCATCACATATAGAACATGCAAGCAGCTGTACAAAGTGAAGATGGAGTCTTCACTTCGTACAGGTCTCAAATATGAAACCTGGGGAAATGTCCTCAAGCCAGCCTCGAGGCCAAGAAATATTGCTGTAAACATTTTAACGTGCATATCTACCGTAGAGGTAGGCCCGTGCACTTACTTGCTCACGCCAATGCTGGTGGAAGGGCCTCCCCCACTCGAGGTATCAACTGTGATGAAGCCATTTATACTGCTGGGTGGCCAGAGGCGGAGGGATATAACTTGAGCCACTGTTTAAATTGCCGTTGCCGGGAGGTTGAACCAGCAATATCTGAATTGCAAGTTTGGTGTCCTAACCATAACACCGTAGTGGCATCCCTGTCTATAGCATGCATTTATCACTTTCATTTTGATAATTGAATTATTTTATTTAGACACAATTTAAGTATGTTACGGAAGCGAGTAGCATCAACACACACACACACACTTCCTCCCATTGTCTAATTTCCCAAGCTCTTATAACCTTGCTCAATGCAATAAACGTGCTAACTCTTAGCTATTACACCTCTAATCGTGCTGTTGGTTGCTGGCTGCTTGACGTGTTGGGCCTTTAGGCCTGTGCTTTAACAAAATGCAATATCACGACAGGGGTAATATGACTATCCAAACAAGAGGAATGCATTCAAGCAGGAATTTATATTAATCTTATCGAAAATATTTTTTTCACGGCGTGAACCACTGGGTAAATAGTAGGTGTGTAATGATCGTTAGTTAATCGATTACATTGATACTACCACTGACCATGCTCGCATCGCATCATCCACGTACGAATTGAATATAATTACAATTCATGCAAATTATGAGCGGATGTAAAATTCAATGAGAGGCCGTTTCCCCGCTCTAAAAATGGATTGGACTCCTATGCTGCAGACAGCCTGAGATGTCATGCGATGAGCCTTGGGGATGGTGCGACCGCCACCCAATACTGTTGTAAGTTATCGGATATCCATTAAATATGCATAAGGAGACGGCTTGAGTAAGACCCTGTAGTGTGTCTTTAAGTATACTTATCTGATGTAAGGACCAAAAAACTTCTGGTAGAATATATTAACTGAGAAAGCCAACATGTTTAAAGGTCAAAAACAGACGTTACTCGCTAGATTGTAAATCATGTTTACAAAATGTTCCGGTTTTTTTTATTAAGGTATAAATACAGTATTTCACCGCTGTGCAGTCAAGATTATTTAATTTGATGAGCATTGCATTGTGTGATTACCGCACAATACACGGCTGTCCAAATTAAATTTCACATGAATGGAAACCCATCTGCCAGCAATGTTATGCCATGACATCACAGTCATTGTAAGGGTCTTGTGTGTGGATTCCTCAAGCATTGTGCATTGTCAGTGCTAAATAAAGCAACTACTATTGTCAGGGCTAAATAAAGCAACTACAGTACATGAAATATTCACTGTTGCCCACCACCAATAGGTGACTAAAATGATAGATTCACATATTACACTATTACATGCAATACTGCATTGGTATCACCGTTATTATTGGTAGTTGTGCACAAGCACAAATAATAAATTAATACATATAATAACATTGTGTCCTTAAAATAAATAAATGACATGGTTGCCGATGTTTCATGCAACAGCCCTTCTTCATAGCACATACATTTATTAATGACGGGTCTCTTTGAGTGATGGCTCTGGAAGGCTGTGGGGTAGGTGGGCGCATGTGAGAAGTTGGAAGCTAACCTGGGCTACCCTTAGCCTAAACTAAATACAGAGTGTAGTATGTAAACCAAACGTACACAAAGGAGGTTATAAGTTAACCTCCTTTGTGTACGTTTGGGCCTTGACAGGTGCTCGCGAACAACAATTGCTCCCAAAATCTATGAGGCTATGTCAGGGATCTTTGTATTCATAAAACAATGCATTGTTCTGGCAAGGAGATGCTATTCTTAAGTTAGGTAACTTGACAAAATATTCTAGAGGTCATCACGGTCTATGCCAATACCACCATACCTGACCTCTGCTTCTACCCTTCTTCCAAATACCTTTACTGGTGCACAGTCGACGCCCTTTGCACAGCTTCAGGGCTTTGCCCTGGTCTCTGACCTCAAATGCCACTTCAATGGCTGTCTCAGTAACACGTCCTCTCACATCACATCCCATCCATCACAACCTGCTCTGCCTGGTTAATTCTACAATGCTTGCAGGTCACATTGTGTAATCTGAAGATTATATTTGTCGTTGTGTTGCTAAAATCCAGCTGTTAACATGACAAACATTAGTCCTGACTAAAAAGACACGCATCTCAAAGGGCTATAAATGGTATTACGATATGGTGTTTTCCTTGTCATCACCACACATCCCCAAAAGACACCTTTGCATTTTCGCACGGCCATTTTGTGTGGCATTATACTCAGTCATGCGTCTTATTTGTAGAACCAATGAAGATCAACTATTAGAGACTCACACCTAAGCGATATAGTCATTCAATTGCTTAGTCCGAGAGTAGGTAAATTTCAGATATGCTGCCTCCATTATTATATTGGGGCAGTGCGACGTTACGTGGTCCATGGTTTTGAGTTCGGAGCTGCAGTTGCACGCAGGAAAGTGTTTAATTTTTTACTCGGTTATGCTGAAAGGCGCACAAGTCGGAGCGCACAACGTGGAGGTTAATCCACAGAGAAGCCAGCAGCGGAGTTCTCTCACCGTGCAGTGTGTGCGCACATTCACACGATTGCTTCCTGACCTTCAGGTAACGTCTCCGGCAGAGGAACATCAGCACCGTGGCTCGCAGGCGGATGAAGCCCTCGCGGATCATCTTGTAGCGGTACCTGGGAGCAAGTGAAAATGGCTTATTGACCGCAGGGGATACCGTGCATACATACACAAATGTAACCCTCAGAACTGTCTCAACACTTAAGTGGGATTATGTTCGGATGGGAGAAGAATAACAATAACCAGGGATCGAGATAGACAGAGACATGGAGTGAGACATGGTGAGAAAGATACTGCCATATAGAAAGATACTGCTATACAGTATTATCAATAAAATTAAACAAATTAGGGCACACACACACACACACACCTCACAGATTATAAAACCCACCACCAACTTCTCTTAAAATTTCAGGAAGACAATGCACCTTAATCCGTTTGCTGCACCTCACCTGGCCTGGTAGCCGCGGATGTGCGCCTGCAGGAGGATCACCTTGGACCTCATGCGGTGGTAGCGCCTGCGCGCCACAAAGCCACGCGCGTAGCGCTGCATGGTGACCGCCGCCCAGTGCAGCACGCGTTCGCGCCTGCTCTCCAGTGCCTGGTGCAGCTTCTCCTTGAGGAAGACCTGTGTGAGCCCACACGCACACGTGCACACGTGCACGCAGTCCAAGCCCGGCACTCGAAAAATAAAAGGAAATTGTGCAGCCCCGGAAATTTTCTTCCTCGCGCGACTACTGACGGAAGGGCCTCTGCTTCGGGGAGCTCGAGAGAGGCCCTCTTGAACTACTCTTCCATCCCAGGCTATCTGACGTGAGTTTTCACGCTTTGTTCATCAGAGGTTCATGTGAGAGAGCACTATTTTCTGGGGAGTCCTCATTGTGCCCACTGGGGTATGACTGTCATAAATGCTCTACATGAACAAAGTGTTGTGCCAAAAACTCCTGTAGACAAAACTCACCAAAGCAGAAACTAAGAAGAACACACACCCCCAACTCTATACATACTATTCTTGGTTCTTTCGGTAAAGTTTCGTAGAAAGAAAACAATAAAATAATAAAAAACACAAGATCCAGGTCCAATTCAACACATTACATAAAATCCGTGATCTGGTTCCGTCTGTAAAAGATGTGATTCCGGACATACAGTACCCTGGCGTCTACAAACTAAGTTGCCTCTGTGGTAGTAGTTACATTGGAGAAACCAAACGACATGTCTCGGGCTGCATTCGTGAACACAAAGCAGACCTTAAACACGGTAGGACCAACACCTCGGCCGTGGCAGATCATTGTTATAATTCAGTAGGCTCACATGACATTGACTTCTCCAAGACAGAGGTTCTCTGCAAGACATCTGGCAACCATGAGAGATTCGTTCATGAGGCTATCCACATATACAAACACAGAGACAATTTCAACTGAGAAGATGGATTCTGGCTTAGCAATCATTGGAAGGATTTGATCAACCATTTCGGGTCTTGATTGTTCACGCTTACGGTGGCTTTCAGACCGAATCCATTATTTTCGTCTCCCCCCTTCTCTTTTCCGAACATAGATGGACTCGTCCATCTGAATAACTGCCAAATCGCTCTCCGTGGTGCTAACATTAAAAAACGCCACTTTTTTCAAATTTCATTGCTGTGGTTTTCACACCTGATGATGATTGCTTGTGTTGCAGTCGAAACGTCGTGAGAATTTTATTGTTTTATATTTTTATTATTTTATTGTTTCCCTTCTACGTGACTTTACCGAAAGAACCAAGAATATGAATCCCTGCAGTCACGATAGCTTTAAATCAAAATCTATACATAATATTACTGCACAATACAATTCCACAGTGAGGCATCTGTGCAGCCTCAACAATAAGCCAAAGCCTCTTCAATCAATCTCTTCCTCAACACAACCCACATACTCAAACACTCAGCCAGAGTTTCAAAACTAACTAACAGCCCAACATAAACCAACAACTTTAACACTAACAGATCAATGTTGATTTCGTAACAAAATCAAATATTATCGAATTGTTTTTGGGTTGCATCTCCCTTTCACAACAATAAAAATATACTTCTGAACCAAAAAATATGAGCAATGTTCAATGTGGCCCATGTAGGCCATGGCATAGGACACAATGACTAATTATTGTGAACCATGCCACAGAATATTTCATGTCCACATTTCAAGAGACACTTTTGTTAAGCATCTATGCAAAATTGATAAGACAGATGTGAGAATTAAACGAGTGGCCACGGTGGTTTCCCTTTCACGCCGTGAGGTACAAGAGATGTGTTCCTCTCCGCGCACCCGGTTGATGCCTATTTGGTAGGGCTCATCCACGCGCTTCTTGATGCTGATTTTGCTGAGGATGGTGACACAGCCCTCCCGGCCGGACGCGACAGCCTCCTTCCTGCCCACCAGCATCTTGTACCTGCCCAACGCCAAGCGCGCGCACACACCACGGTGAGAGCCCTGGCAGAGGAGCGCACTGGGCATCGTTGTTGCTGCTGGGGTGGCATTCGGGTTAAAGCGTCTGAACAGTCCAGTGCTTAGCCCACTTGCCTCACAGGCTGAAACATGCACACGAGTCCCATCGTTTATATCGAGCGCTCTTGATAATAACGTCTGGTATCACAGCAGCATTTGTTTAACAAGCCTGCTGATGCGACTCAGTACGTCAAAACGGAGCTAGAGTTTGCTCGCTGAAACAAATTCTGCTTGACAATGTGTCTGGAAAGGACTAAAACATTTTTTTTTTACGTGGAAATACAGGATGGAGTTACGCTAATGTCATTTTTTATTGTATTGTGTGATCCAGAAAAAGGCACTGCTTTGCTTTATGTGTTCATGCTAATAACAAGTGGGATTTCAATTGTGTTAACGTTTACTTAGGTAGTCGTTGATGTTGACTTAAGTAGTCAGCTCTTGATTAATTACACAAACTGGGGAGAGACCCTAGCAAGAAAGTTAATTATTTTGGTGAATGAAACGTCAACAAAATTTATATAGAGTACAAATGAAATTAGGAAGATTTAATGACATGTTTAGAGGGGAATCAAGGAGTGTGCAGATCAGGTGGTTAGAGTAGGGAGATGTGCGTATGCTGAACTTCGTTTGCACCATACGTACCAAACCGTGCTAATCAGAGGTGCTAAGCTTGAGATGGGCAGTAACAGTTTCACAACATTGTCAGTTATCTCTGCATCCAGTCACCTACTGTGCATTGTGCGTTCCCTCACAGTTCCAGTTACGAGATAACACCTTTAAGGTTAATTTAGAATATAAACACAACAGATTCTCAAGACTGTGCAAGGGTATTGACAGGAGGAAGGGCAGAAGAAAAAACAAAACTACAATGCAGTAACCATGACAACAAAACAGAGGATATATACTGCATATATATAAAAACAAGTCATACGTGAAGGAAATAAAGACATGCTTAGGTCTCGACTTGAACACGGGGAGGAATTTATCTGTAGAGGCAGCCAAGAGTTTAGGCAATGTGGGCACCAGAGAAGAAGGTGTGATGTCTCATTGGGAAGAGTTTGACTGCAGTGGAGAGAGAAAGGTAGTGAGGGTGCGGCAATATGGGATACGATTGTAGGTAGGGGCTTCATCCATATTTGGTCAACTGCAGCGGTTAATCAAGTCTCTACAAAAAAACAAGAATTTAAACTTTCCACCGTAATTGTTAAGTACAACACAACTGGCAAGACATTTGAAAGGACCAACAAGTGATCGATCTGTGGAGCGGTTGTCGAGTGGGTGGGCAGGAGAAGGCACCGGCAGGTGAAGGTGTGGAACGGCACCCTGACTGGGTAGCCCTCCTTGCGGATGCGAATGGTCTCCAGGATGCCCAGGTACAGCAGCTGAGCCCCGACCACCTCAGCGTCAAACAGACCGGGCTCCTGGGCATTGGAACGGGCATGCAGAAAGAGAGGATGGATCACCCAAGGGTGAATGCGGGGGGTGGGGGGAGGAAGGCAGGCAACCAGAGAAAAATAGCAGGAGAAAAGTGAGTGTGACAAAGAGAGATGGAGTTGACTGGTATTAAGAAGAGGTGTGGTTGTAAGGACAGGGAAAGGAGATGCACATTCGTTGGAGAAGGATTGCGGGCTATGAAAGGTTGATATGTAAGGATCAAATATGTGGTGGAAAAAAAAGGTGATGTTATGTGGTGATTCATCAATTCCTTTTTATTTCACAGCCCATTGACAATACACTGCTGGATGAAATATTGCCGATTAAGGTTTGAGTCATTAGGGTTGTTTTGTCATAATTCACCATGCGAGTCCATACCAGTTGGTGGAATGGTGGGGGATCCTGGACTGGTTTAACTTCTACTTACCACTGATGCTAGCCATGGTTGGCAATATAATTGTTGCCAGGTTCATAGCAGAGTGTGTGAACCACTGTGCCACCACTGAGCGCCGTGAACATGCTCACAGTACAGGAGGTGGGTGGCTCATGCAGTTCATAATGGGAGCACCACTAAAATTTACGGGTCAAGTCTCACCACTAACAAGACATCTCAAGTGGTATCTTACCTTTCTATGGTTTGGCTTTATACAACGCACAAAAAATGGGTTGCACCTGTGGGCAAAAAACACAATATTTTTTTTTTGTCAATTCCGTATAATTAACCTTTTTTTTTACTAAGTATAAGCCATGACCTGCTTTTACAAAACCAGCTTCACAAGGCCTGTAGAGTCCACTTAAGTGTAAACTTGAGTCACCATGACCAAGGTAAGATTTATGTCGACTCAACAACAAATCAAAGGTGAGTTGACACTCACAGCAAACTAATATATAAGTTACAAATACAAACTGTGGATATGTTACAGCACCGTGTCTTACGACAGCTGAACTTGCACATTCTGCAACTAATTAGAAACATTTTTTTTGGTTAATGAGAAAAGTTACATCGACATATTAGTAATAGAACATTAAACTGAAATTAACAATACAGTACAACGAAACTTGTCACCATACAGAAAAATGTTGATATTAATAAAAATGTGTTTAATTGACATGTAGAAAATAACACAAATGTTGACATACACCGTAAGTATTGCCCAATGATATAAACGGTCATGGGTATTAGTCATAGGGTACCTAATCGTTTTTTTTAGGTTAGATCGCGTAAATATATAAATGTGTCGTAAAACCCGCCACCACCCGAAACAGCCAACTAGTAAGGGTTGTCACGTAAACAGAGCATGCCAATTCGTCACTAGTGCAGCATACGGTGTGTTGGAGAGCCAAGCCACAACATTAACAATCTGAGTACGACGTTTCGCCAGTAATACAACTAGCTTCATCAGGCAACAGCCAGATTTGTGGATAAGTCCACCTGTTTCGTTCCTCACATAGAGGCGTAGATGCGGTGACCATGCTTGAGCGCTCTCCTTGCGCAAAGTGGGGGGGGATTAATGAGTCGACGTACATTATGCATACGCATTATGCGAGCCAATTGATCTTGTCCTTCGTGTCCATTGTGTGTATTAAAATAGCCCTACCCTATTGAAGTATGGTGGCCTTATAGGTATGCATATAAACCATGTATTCTTTGACGATTCGCTTCCACGCAGCACTAAATCGGCAGCTATCCGAACGGTGAAAATATTTTTTATTTCTTTCAATTTCAATAGATTATCTAATTAGTCTTGGCCAGTAGTAACTAGTTTTGCACAGAACTTCAACATTATCAAAATAAATTGAGTGTCCTTGTTGGCACGCGTGTTCTGCTACTGCTGACAGTTGTATTTGGGAGTATTTAATATTTCTCTGATGTTCTTTTAGTCTCATACTGATCATTCGTCCTGTTTGCCCAACATAGCATTTGCCGCAAGTGCAGTTAATCCTGTAGACACCTTATGTTGATAGCTTCAGTAATGCATCTTTTGTACCAGATATAAATTTCTGTATTTTATGTACCATGTCAAATCTGACTCGGATATTTTGTTTTTCCAAACATCTGGATAGTTTATCAAAAACTCCCGAAATGTACGGTATTTTAATAGTTTCAATGCTCGTGTTATTTGATTTGGTTTTGGCATGCAATGCCTTGTTGATTTGTGCATCATTGTAACCATTCTATTGCAATGCTTCTTTAACATGTTCAATTTCACTTCTCAGACTGTCACCATCTGACACTTTCTTAGCCCGATGAAAGAGCGTCTTTATGACAGCAGATTTCTGTGCGGGGTGATGGTGTGACTGCATTCAGATAGGCATCAGTGTACGTTTTCTTTTGGTAAACTGCTGTGTATTATTTGACCATTTCGACCGCGTTTGAGCAGAATATCCAGAAATGGTAGAGTTCTGTCAACTTAAACTTCCATGGTGAACTGGATGGATGGGTTTTGCGAGTTGAGATGATTTAGAAATTCGTTAAGTGTATCTTTGCCGTGTGGCCAGACCACCAATGTGTCATGCACATATCTAAACTAAGCAGAGGGTTTTAGTTTGCATGAAGCTATTGCTTTTGTTTCAAAATCTTCAATTGTTTTACACGATTTAACCCAAAAAACCTCTATTAGGGATGATATTGGTCGCAAAAGCCTACGTGTTGAACAGTTATAGGGTTGCCACCTCTAAGATTTAAAAAAAAAACATAAATAATGGGAAGAAAAATATCTCACAATCGCGAAAGAGGGGAGAAATACATGTAAATGTATTGCTGTGGGATGTCCATTATTATACAACTCATAAAAACTCTGGCATTTTTTATGTCCTGAGAAGACACATATTTCCTGAAACGACTCCCTCAAATAGAGGATAATCATGTGAATACCAAAAACAGGTGGCAATACTAGTTTGTGGTGGTGTCAGGGGTCAGCATTGATTGAGGGTCGTACTTTTCCATCTTCTCTATGAGCTCCATGAGTGACTGCTGGAACTTGGCAGCCACCGTTGGGGCTTGGTATCTGCGGCCCAGGCTGCAGTTCTTGCCCATGCGGCCCTGTGCCACTGACTGGTGCTGCCGGAACTGATCGGACATGAGCTGTTCGGGGCACAGGCCAGGGTACACAGCAGAGCATGGAAGAGACGTGCAGCAGATGCTAATTGTACCACAACACTCGTATGCATGTACAAGTATATGAAACAGCAATCATCATTTATCACTGTCAGTGATATTACCATGGCACTTGTACCATATTTATGGGCACTTTGACAATATGTGGAATGGCTTGGAGTAGGAGGCCATGATGCAAATCAAGGCGGCTGCAAGGTAAAAGACGAGGGTGACTAGCAAACAGCCAACTTGCTGTTTGTACATACTTCTGTGTCATCACATAAACACGTACTCTGTACAAATTACTGGCATTGATAGAACTCATTGTATTCAAACTTGATTTGAAGCTTTCGTTACGGCAGGAATTACTCTTTGGTTCTTTCGGTAAAGCCACGTAGAAAGAAAATAAATGAAATAATAGAAAACGACGTTTCGATTGCAACACAAGCAACCGTCATCAGGTAGAACTACATTTGAGAGAGAGACAAAACACAGACACAGAGATACACAGACAGACACACAAGCAGAGAGAGACAACACAGAGCCACACAGAGAGAGACACACAACATACACACACAGAGACAACACAGAGACACACAGAGAGAGACACAAGCAGAGAGAGACAACGCAGACACACAGAGAGAGACACACAACATAGACACACAGAGACCCAATGCCTCTGTGTCGAGGCCTTAAATAGAGAGGGGGGGGGGGGTTGGGCAGAGAGAGAGGTGGGTCTGCTGTGTTGCATTGCATTACATTTCAAAAAAATGTTATAAGTTTATTTTCTCAAACTGCCTATTTCTCTCTCAAAAATTTACCAGGCTCTCATACAGTGAGGGAAAAAAGTATTTGATCCCCTGCTGATTTTGTACGTTTGCCCACTGACAAAGAAATGATCAGTCTATAATTTTAATGTTAGGTTTATTTGAATAGTGAGAGACAGAATAACAACAACAAAATCCAGAAAAACGCATGTCAAAAATGTTATAAATTGATTTGCATTTTAATGAGGGAAATAAGTATTTGACCCCCTCTCAATCAAAAAGATGTCTGGCTCCCAGGTGTCTTTTATACAGGTAACGAGCTGAGATTAGGAGCACACTCTTAAAGGGAGTGCTCCTAATCTCAGCTTGTTACCTGTATAAAAGACAACTGTCCACAGAAGCAATCAATCAATTAGATTCCAAACTCTCCACCATGGCCAAGACCAAAGAGCTCTCCAAGGATGTCAGGGACAAGATTGTAGACCTACACAAGGCTGGAATGGGCTACAAGACCATTGCCAAGCAGTTTGGTGAGAAGGTGACAACAGTTGGTGCGATTATTCGCAAATGGAAGAAACACAAAAGAACTGTCAATTCGATATTCTTTCCCTCGGTCGCTTCGGGGTGGATTCATTGACATGCTAATTTCTCTGCTCCAGCAGCTGCCCCAGTAGACCCACCTCTCTCTCTGCCCCCCCCCCCTCTCTCTCTATTTAAGGCCTCGACACAGAGGCATCGGGTCTCTGTGTGTCTATGTTGTGTGTCTCTCTCTGTGTGATTGTATTCAAGCAAATATAACAAAAAAGCATAGCACACAAACAATACTTACTGCCATAATAGAGGTTTTTTTTGTTAGATCGCGTAAATGTATAAATGTGTCGTTAAAACCCGCCACCACCTGACACAGCCAACTAGTAAGGGATGTCACATAAACAGAACGTGGCCAATTCGTCACTAGTACAGCACAACGGTGTGTTGTGGCTTGGCTCTCCAACACACCGGTGTGCTGTACTAGTGACAAATTGGCCACGTTCTGTTTACGTGACAACCCTTACTAGTTGGCTGTGTCGGATGGTGGCGGGTTTTAACGACACATTTATATATTTACGCGATCTAACCCAAAAACCTCTATCATGGATGATATTGGTCGTGAAAGCCTACGTGTTCAACTAACACTTACTGCGATAAGCACAGGCACCACACCGTACCTTGCACTTGCTGTGAATGAGCAGCTCCAACACCTCCTGTCGCACTTGGTCAAAGTTTTTATCCAAAAATTTGTGCACCTGGAAATAAAGAATGAGAGAGGAGACAATCACAGAGTTTTGGAAAGAGTTAAAAATGATTAATTAGTCACCTCTCTAATTCTGATCCACGAGAGAACCTCGTAAGATGGAATACATTTTAAAATAAAACTGAGTTATGCAGATGCTACCATCATCAGTAGCCCATGGGTAATACCTACTAGAATCACCCAGGAATGTCTGTCCTTAACGCTCGTGACGTCACTTCACATCGAACAGCTCCCCTCATTAATAATCATGAGCAGGTGACGTCCTCCAAATGGACACTCCCCCATTATTATTACCTACTATAATGAGCCAAGAATGTTTGTGTGCAACGCTGGTGACGTCACTCCACGTCGACCAGCTCCCCTCATTAATAATAATTAACAGGTTACGTCTTCCACATGGACACCTCCCTCCATTCATAATAATTAGCGACTGACGTCACTCCACATGGGGGGCCGAGGCGCCTCCTCTCCCCTCCTCAGCGTCAACTGACAACCCTCCTCACCACAAAGGCAGAACCCTCACGTCATGCAATCTCAGTAACGCTGTTGAGACATCAAAGTAAAAAGAACGTCATGATGAACAAGGGATCATAACCTAAAAATGAAATAGGTCCGTGTCACCGCGCCCTTACAAATTGCACACTCATTGATGCAATGAAGATCAGATCGCAGTCTGCTTTTCATTTGAAAGTTTCAAATTTACTGCAATACACCCGTCCTTGGACGGGCAAAAGGCTAGTAAGGGGCTTAGCTAGTGACGCTGGTAGACAGTAGCCTAATGCATTGGTAAAGTCAAGTAAAAGCATCCTCCTATGCAAATCAGTTGATTAATCAAGCTATGGAATGGAACTCATCCCTGTTGGTGGCTCCCCATTAATTTCAAAGGGGAAAAACCCTATTATTATTATTAGGTAATGAATGTGTTTTAATATGACACTAACTTAATTTGCAATTATATGGATGTAATCAGCAACACATCTTGATGTCCTACAATTTTCGATGCGATTGATGATCAGTGCAGAAGTACCATGCTTTATTTCACTGTTTATATTTATTTGGACAAAGAGCTTTATTTGTTACCATCACGCAGTTACCAATACTATACCACTACAGCTGTGTCCAAGTTTTCGATCGACAGATAAACATGTTATCTCATTCTGCTTGTAGATGCTAATAAAGGTTATGGTTGCTGAATAATGAATGGCGAAGACTATGCGGTGCAGTCAATAACAATGGGGGTGATCGTACGGCTAGTAGATCTGTTAAAATCGCTTGTTGACAAGCATAGTTCACGCTTTACATACGATCAGTTCTGTAGCAAAAAAAAAAAACTATTGTGCCAAGGACATTGCCACAAGGATTCCCCGGGCAACCCTTTGTGAATGCTACCTGGTACGTGACCTTGCCGGCGTAGTGCTTAATTGTGAACTCGGGCAGGGGCATCTTGGGCTTGGAGTAGAGAGGGTTGTTGCCGTGGTGGTAGTGACATTTTTGAAGGAAGGTCTGGTCCGTGGCCTAAGAAATACAAAGGGAGTACAAGTGGCAAAACCATCACCAGCTGGTAAAAACGAGACGCCAGACAAGGGTAGGAGTAGTCAGATGATTGAGGGCAGGAGCGGTCAGAGGAGAAGAATGGGGAAGAAGCACAGGAAGATGAAAGAGCAGGAGAACCTGAGCCGGGCAAATGGCAAAACGTGTCAGGGGGACGACGACAATGAGATGTGTCACGAGAATGAGAAAGGGAAAATGAGCAAAGGAAAGGAACAAGGGAAAGGAGAGAGATCCAACCAACAGGAATCACAATGGAGGAGATAAAGGATCCCCTCCACTCACATTGTTTGATGCCGGGAAGCTGCACTTGAGACCCCCATTTAATAATGGGCAGCTACCTGGATTCGAAGCCAGAATCTCAGCAGCACCAGCAAAGCATTCGGAGACCTCTCAGTCACCTGGCTACCTTGCAGCATCTGACCCCTTAAAATAATGCTGCTGGTATGTTCACAGTCACCCACTGTTATGAAGGAGATTCATCTGCTAACAAAGCAATGTACTGCAAACAGCATTGCCATTGATGCAATTTTTAATCTTTCAACCAAAGCATGCAGGATACAGGGGCATGAGGGGAATGAGTGGAGCGAGCGAGCGAGAAAAGGTGCCGGCAGCGAGGGAGGCGGAGACCTGCGGGAACGCGCTCTGGTCATCCAGGATGCGCATGATGCCGTACGGCTTCTGGGAGATGAGGTCCAGGCACGCCTGGTTGTCGTTGAAGGTGATGTGCTTCCAGCTGATGCGCTCCCGATCGTACACCTCCTGCGCCACACATGGCATGGAAACGCTTTTCAGGGAAACTGTGCCAGATCCGGCTGGGGACTGATTTAGGCAGAGATGAACTTGTATTTGGAAGGTCAAGAGTTCAATATCCAGTCAGGGATTCTATCCATTACACTTTCCCTTTTGTGGTCAAGATATAAGGCAGTGTTATTAAATAAATGATTCACCTGCACTAATGTACCTGTGATGCTCTTCTATAAATAAAAGTGAAATTATATTTTTCAATTTTATAAATCATCAACACTCATACACCATGATAAAAAAAATGGTGATCTATAACTCTCCTAGTCTACAAAGCACCGTGTTATATCATGGGATGGCTCCAAAAGATGACATCATCTCAATAAGCTTCTCAAACCCAGAACTAGCCGGCGGTGGTCCTTGATGTTCTGTAGGGTGGCACTGGAAAGCAAGGCTTGCCAAACCTGATCCTGTGGGCTCAGCAGTGCTGGCCGTGTGCTCTGACATGAACCTTATGAGCCCCATGAGCCATCTGGCTGTCTTGTGCTCACTGATCCTAGGTGAGTCTCTGTGTCCTCCTGTGTCTACATGTGTCTCTTAAGGGATCTTCTGATCCACCCATAAATGATCTGTGCCATCGTCCATCTGATCCCACAATTTTTACTGGACCTCCAATTCATCACTCAATCCCTACATCGATTGGACAAAGCCCTTTCCATCAAACTGAATCTCTAGAGGCCCTCTCAGAGGCCCTCTCACTTATACCCTTTCAAACAAGATATCCAAAGCCAAAGTCTCCTAACCCAATTATTAGTGTTAATTTCTATGACTCTGCCATCACCTTTTATTCACACCAACATTTGTATTTTCTGATGCTGTAGTGCAGATCACTGCTGCTCTGAATAACAGTTGCTGGATTTGAATTTGGGCTCACCGGCCACAGAAGTGGGAGTGACATAGTCCTTGTATGAGGGGTAGCGAGGGTTGGGGTTAGGCATAGGTTTACGGTTAGGGGTACTGATTAACTGCATCGCTGTTTGTCATGAGCAGTGTTTCCCACAATAGCAGCAATGCACAGTCGGCTCATATAGTAACCCCCAGTGCGTGACACAAAGAGACATGGATGACAGACTGACAGAGAGACCGATATAGTCAGACAGGCAGATAGAAAGGCAGTCTTGAACTATTGATGTCTCCTCCACGCACCTGCTCTTGTCTGAAGATGATGCGATTGAAGAAGTATTGCAGGTACTCGTTAGCATAATTAATGCACAGCTGCTCAAAGCTATTCATAGCCAGATCCTGAAAAATATAACAAATAACATTTTAAATAGTTTTTTTGCAATGTAAACAGAGATCCCAATTATATCCTGAGCAGACCTGTGAGATAAATTCCATCAATAATAATATTACAACTTTTCCTGTGAAAGCCTGTTACCGGATCCTCAAGACTTTTTTTAAAAGTGTACTGCTGACATTATTATTTGGACAGAAAATGTAAAGTCTGGAGAAAACCCCTTCTTGGAGAAATACTGCCTGTTCAGCAACATACTTTTTTGTGATGCCTTCTACAAGCACCTGGTTGTCTTAACATTCATCAACATAAGTCCAGTAAATCGGAGGAAGGTTTGTGGATCACACATTGATGAATCCAACAACACTGATGAACACATTGATGAATCCACAAAGTGTGAGAGATAGACCAATTGTAGGAAGTAAGTTAATAACAGGAATTTCTTCATTGTAATACTTTAAGTTTTCTCTGGGTACCTTAGGGTCCTCCTACATAATAAACACGACAATGACAACTACATCATGGTACCTCCTTTGCCAGTACCAAAATATGAGAATAGGTTTTCCCCTTTTTTCTGGCAACAAAACAGGTGTTACGATGTTAAAAGACCAAACTGAAACCTTGTACAAGGAATCATGTCTGCATTAACCACAATACTTGTGGTCAGAATGCAAACAAAAATCATTCTCTGATAATATATGCATTGTCTGTGAAACTAATTGGACCAATCAGTTTCAAAGATTGGACCAAACAGCAAATGGTCTAATACCCCGAAGCAGGGCCCTGATTGAAAATTAGTGTTAAGATTCAATGATGGCTTCCTAGGAGAAACAAAACAAAGCATAAGAGCAGTGAAGAGGATGGCTGGCTGGGAAAGACAGTAGTCAGATGCTCTCATGCTGAAATCCGACCTCAAAGCCGTAAATGTCGAGCACGGCGATGGACTTGGCATCCTGCCTGGGGGCCACCAGCAGGTTGATGTGGCTGATGAGCCAGACAAAGAGCTGTGCATACAGGATCTTGGCAATGGCATCTCTGTGAAGGGCAGTGGGGTAGCAACGGAGAAGTGGTTTTGTTATCTTGCGCATACTGCTCATCGTAATCACCGTGAATAAAGGAAACATAAATGTAGAATAAAACGCAGTAATAATACTTCTGAATATAATGTACGTGCGAAATAGTCTAGCCTGAAAAAGAGGATTCAAATCTGAACTTGTGTTGGAGATTATGGTTGGATTAGTTTATGCAATGAGATCAACCAAAATAAATTCACTTTATCAGCTGTTAGCTCAGCTCCATCCTGGGGAAATATTCTTACATAAGAACATGTATATTTGTTTCTATTTCCATACCTGTCAACCCATACGGTTTACCCGTATTCTTATGCAGGGAAATTGAGTTTTCAGGTTCATACGGCATAAAGCCATTTCAATACGGGCAAAACATTTGCTTTATCTATTTGTTGCATGTTTCTCCTTTGTGATGGGACCTTGTAGGATGAACGTTGAGATTGATAAGGGCATGGACATGAAGCACTAAAAAATATTCAGCTTCTCTGATTTTGATAATCGTTTTTTTTTCATTAAGATTTTACATTATATTTCGATTTAAAGCTTTCGTGACTACAAGGATTCATCTTCTTTGGTTCTTTCGGTAAAGTCACGTAGAATGAGAATAAAATAATAAATTGATAAAATAAAATAACACAATAAAATTCTCACGACGTTTCGGCCACAACACAAGCGGCCTTCATCAGGTGAAGGGACGAGACTGTCTGGAGGACAGCGCTCCAGACAGTCTCGTCCCTTCACCTGATGAAGGCCGCTTGTGTTGTGGCCGAAACGTCGTGATAATTTTATTGTGTTATATTATTTTATCAATTTATTTTTTTATTCTCATTCTACGTGACTTTACCGAAAGACCCAAAGAAGATTTTACATTATCTTTAAATGTGGGGTATTTCCAGCTCAATGGTTAAGGCCTTAATTAGGGTAACAAACTTGGGTTTAAAAATATGTCCCCATGATTATAACGCTCCATGGGTGTGAGCTTCCTCGCACACGACTTCCGCACCACGAGTTTAGGTACCTGGCGTCAATCGCACTTTCCACAGACAATGGCGTGTATATCTTCTCCCGCATGGCCTCCTGCAGTTACACACACCCACACTGTTACCAGTGAGCACCTATTAAGGTTAGTACAGCAGACAATAGGATGGTGTGGTTGGAGTAACACAGCATTAGCCACCTTTGACAAAAACATTCCAAACAGACCCCCTTCTAAAAAGGCTACAATTGTTTTTGATAGTTCTACTCAGGCCTGAAGCTCTCGGTCACAACTACGATCATGACTTCGGTATGACTCTTCTTCTGCAATATCACCGCGTGTGTGCCATCGCGCCTGACCCCACGCTCACCGTGACCTTGTAGGTGATGGCCTTTTGAAGGCCCTCCTGGGAGATCTGCAGAAGCTCGGAGACTGACTGGAGCTCACGCACACTCACCACCGATGCCACCTCCTGCCCATCGACCTGCATCAGGTACACCAGAACGCCATCCCATCAGCAAAGCACAACCCACATCGCAAGTGTAGACGAAATGATTTGAGGTCAGTTCATGTGCTGGAGCGAGATGAATTGTGCCAGCACAGGACCGTATTTGGAAGACAGCGGGATAGAGAGGACTTCATCCAGCAATGGAGAGACCTTTAATGGCAGCCCTCCCCCCACCTTGCTAAGCAGACAACCTGGTCCATCTGCTCACTGGGCTCACCTCGTGACAAGCGAAGCAGACGTTACCCAGGTGCAGGATGGAGGAGAGCACCTTGAAGATGGTGGCCTGATCATCAGTGCTGAACGTCAGGATCTCCAGGGCACTCAGGAGTCTTCGGAAGTCCTCCCCATCATGCTTTCCTGGGATCTCACAATTACCACCCTGCAGGACCACCAAATGTCATTCGCCTGTTTGGTCACCTACTAAAAAAAATATAGGTCCATATTCACCTGCAATTGCTGAATATGTTATCCGCACCTCCAATTAGCACGGTTGGTTACGCGTGGTGCGAAATAACTTTAACATACATACATACATTGCCTGTAAAACGTTTCGCTTACCATACCCTGAAGAGCTCAGCTTGCCTGGCTGACTCAGATCATGGAAATGGCCACGAAGAATGTAAATGACCCACCATTGGCACTGAGAACCCTTGGCACTCATCTCTATGGGAGGGTCTGACGCAGTGCTTGAAATTACACATTCCAATGGCAGGGTCGAGTCACTTCACAGGACCACCACTGCTACTGCTGATGATGTGACGATGATGCTACTGCTGAGTTCCCTCCATCAAATGTCGATCATCTCTGCTCACTGTTATTAATAGTTAATGTGATGTTAGTGTGTCTATGTGTGTGTAATGATGTCTGAGGAGCTGTGGTGTGTCAGCGCTCTGCAATACAAATCCGGCAACCGAAATTCGATTCCCGCTCACGGCCAACACCAGTGACGATTATCTTAACCGGTCCTAAGCTTCCCCTAGCTCGACTCAGCCCCAAATGAGTACCTAGTGTCATGTGTAAAACTAAACAATTTACTAAATTATTTTTATTTGACCAGGTAAGGCCCATTAGGGAGACAAAGGCGGCTGGACGGGATGCTGGCCACCCACCCCCTCGTGTACCGTGCCAGCTTTTATCGGTGCTCGCTAACAGCACTTGCCCAAGAAGTATGTTAAAGTTATATGGGGGATCTGTATCTTTGTATGTATATATGTGAGTAGCAGTTCCATAGCCATTTGGGCGACGAACCTGAAAACCTAAGTTCAATTCCCAGCTGCGGCTAACATCAGTGCCAAGTGAAATCTGAACCATATCTCTGCCTTGCAAGAGAACCTGTTACAGGGTAATGTATGCAGTTATAATATTCATGTTTAAGATCAGTAGGTCATTAATGTTAACGATTTTTTTTTATTTTCTTGATCCACACGTAGCCCAGCCCCACCGGTCCCCAATAGCAAAGCTGCCCTTACTGGAGTCCAGAATGAGGTTTTGTGTAAATGGTTGAAGAAGCCTCGTGCTTGTAACCCCAGTGAACACTCACCTGGTTGAGGTAGTAGTAGGTCTCAGGGTCTTGCAAGTAGTACCTCTGCCTCTGTTGCGATGGCAATCCTGCCAGCAGCTCGTAGAATATGTGGTAGTTCCTTTCATTTTTGGCCTAGAGAATGAGTAAAGGTCATATAGGTCATATTAATAATAATAAGACAGATCTTTACCTCAGAGAGTTTTGTCTTAAGTATTTAGATGTAGTTAACGGCACAGTCCTGCTTAGGATGCATGGTCAATGACGATAGCACTTGGACATCTACTATACATCTGTGAAAATTACTGGACATCTATGAAAAAGAGCTTCATAGCTCATCAGATTCCTCCTGGATAAAAAGGATTCTCCGAAACTTCGCTCCTCGTCCTGGGAGCTTCTTCAGGAATTGAATGAAGAATTTAAGTGAGGAAACTCACAGCACGTGGAGTGAAACATTGGACATCGTGACTTAAAGCTTTCGCGACTGCAGGAATTCATATTATTTGGGTCTTTCGGTAAAGTCACGTAGATAGGTTCAAAGAAACTAAGAAAAAATAACAAGAAACTACAACGTTTCGATCGCTTGAGTTGTGATCGAAACGTCGTAGTTTTTTGTTATTTTTTTGTTATTTTCTTTTAACGTATCTACGTGACTTTACCGAAAGACCCGAAGAATTGGACATCGTGCCAAACAACAAGCGGTGCGACCGGAAAACACACCGAAGAGCTGTACAGCATCATTGCAAATAAACCTACTAAGCGGTAGAATTAGATAACACTTAAATTCCACACAGATACTCTTGTAAAATCATTGTATTGTCTCAAAAAATCGACGTGTTGCTCCAGCAGACAGATGTCTAATGCACAGTAATTGCACGAACCAGCACCGCTACTTCCAAGACACTGCCTTAGTGAAGTGCACAGACACTACTGACGTAATACCCTAACTACAAAATTACTCTTCTACACAATTTTGTAGTCGTTAGTGATATGGGTTCAAACATTATTTGGTAATGCTATGTTGGCAGTGGTGTACAAGCAAAATTAACACGCAAAAAAACTTCACCGCACTCGTCAATAACACTGTCGCCTTAATAGGAAAAATAAACGATATGCGACGTATCACAGAACCTCGCATTTATATGCAATTACAAACGGAAAAAAGTCACCAGGCAAATTTTCAAATCACACACAAAGCTAACTGGGCTAAATTAAACACCGTTCTCATTTACGATGGTGACAAAATACTCCTGTTTCTCACATGGGCCTGGCTGTTATATAGGCTCTATCTTGGGGCTGTAAGCAGCTGGGATAGAAGGGCAGTGTGCCAATGCAGCAGCACTTCCAGCATTACCTGAAAGACAATTCTTGACTTCTCGAGTAAATACTGGGAAGTTATGGCACCATTGATCACCCCACTGAAACAAAAGATCACGTGAAGATTAGCGAGTTCACAAGAGGGGTGGGCTGGATTCTGGTTGGTTTACACGCACGATGAAACAATGAGTGTGCAAATGATTTTACACGCGAATCTTAATTTTACGAGAGAAAATAAAAACAATACTTTTGGCATGGCTGCTCGGTCTCCTGTTCAGTTTGCTTGCCACTAAAACAAGCAGCGGTTTGGTAGAACAAACCTTGCTAATTATGGGGGTCATCCTCCGATGTGTTTTCGTGGTGCACCACATGTTGTTTGGCATGCCGTACGGTTAAATCTTGACTTAAAGCTTTCGTGACTGCAGGAATTCACATTATTTAGGACTTTCGGTAAAGTCACGTAGATAGGTTGGAATTAATAATAAAAAAAATAATTATGACGATCCTGATGACGATCGCTTGTGTTGTGATCGAAACGTCGTAGTTTTTTGTTTATCTTATTATTCATTTGAACCTATCTATGTGACTTTACCGAAAGACCCAAAGAATATGCTGTACGGTGTTTCAATCCCAGTAGCAACTGAAGAAGCTCCCAGCACATGGAGCGAAACATCGGACAACATACCGTAGAACACGTGATACAACCCGAAAACACATCGGAGAGCTGTACAACCATCACAGGTAGCACGCTACAAGATGTAACGTGAGCCGTAAGGACCATACAGATTTAAAGGCATCGTGAAGTGTTTGCTAAGGAATCTGCTGAGGATATAAGCTGTGAGCTGGATGTGTTTAGATGAAACAACTTTTTTAAAACATCATGTCTTGCCTTGTTCTCCACTGCTTATCTCAATTGTGCCATTGGCATAATGAGATGAAGACTACATTCAGAACTCTCGCGGGGCAGCGCGTCGCCCCGTGCTGCAGAATGGTCCATGAAATATTTCACAGAACTGCTTCTGAAATGTATTCAAGTGACTCCTTTTCCACACTAGGGGTAGCACTTCCCCACCCACCCTGCTACAGAGATAATTATTTGTCACATGACAGTGAAACCGATATTTGACATTTTCAGCGCTGGAATTTATCCATGTTAAGCGCAGAACCAAATTTAACTGTGAAGTTTTTTTTTATTACATTAGTTGCTAGGCTGAGGCTGAGGCAATCAACTCACTAGACATGAGAAACCTGATTAAGTATGGATGGCTGTCCTGATTTGAACCCAGAATCTCTGTGGTATCAGCTCAGCACTCTCACTCATGAGCCACGTGGCCACTTGAAGATGTTTTAGGGAGAATATTTCTAAGAACTGTCACCGATCATATCACGAAGGCCTATACAGGCATCCAGCATAGAAACAAGCCTGCTCAGAGAGAGACCACCAGATTTACACACTTACTCAGTTCCAAGATCAGTACCAGCAAACATTAAATAATGAATACTGAGACATTTCCAACTTATTCTTACTAAATGTCCCTATAAAGGAGAGACTCTCTATTCGCTTGAAATAATGTTCTCACAAATTACCATCCAAAACAGACCATGCAACATATGACGACGCAAAGACCCATCCAAAAACACAAAGGAGACATCACGGCGATACACTCCACTGCTCCTGACGCGGTTATCTGGCTTGGCCACCTGAATGCGAAATTGTAACTGTTGCTCTACATCAGCCATACGAAAGAAGAAGACCAAGAAAACTCCACATCTCTAAACCCGCAAGTGTCACAGTAACACGATCTCGCACAGCTCCTACCAACCCGAATCTCACTCGAGCCGGAGATATTCTTCCGATGATTCCCATGCTGGAAATCCCCGCGTGCATGCCGTGCATCTTCTACTGTCTTGACATCATGAGGTTTTGAGCTTAACTGATGGTCTGTTCATTCCCATTATAAAACACTGTTATTCCAAGCTTTGTTTGTGGGTATTTATTTAAAGTTAATTGTGATTTTGTTTTTGTTTCAAGGAAGCACAGATTGATGTTATTTTCTGAATTTTGGTGCCACGTATATTAGTGGTAGACCATGTAGTTAGAGATTACTTGTGATTTACACGCATAAATTACATATAGTTGTGACAGCATAAGTATAATCGAGCTGTGCGCGACAATGCATTGTTAATCTTGTACTGCCTGCAATAAAATTACAAGAGAGTAACACGTTGATAACAGGAGAGCTGTATAATTCTGTGGTCTCACTCTTCCATGAAGAGCTGGATGTATTTGCCGAAGCGACTGGAGTTGTCGTTGCGCATGGTTTTGGCGTTTCCAAATGACTCCAGCAGAGGAGTTGCCTCCAAGATCTGTGAACGTACGAAAGGCAGGGAGCGGTAGCAAGCAAGATGCACATTTTTTTTTTAATCCAGTCACAAGGAACACAATGATTAGAGAACATATGCAGGTAAATTACATCATACAAACTGTTGGGAAAAGTAAGTGGGCTTGGATAGGCACGTCGTAAGAATGGACGATGGTCACGAGTAACGACGGAGAGGTATTTATATTCTTAGTTTTTTCGGTAAAGTCACGTTGAAGAGAAACAACAAAATAATAAAATATATATAAAACAATAAAAAATTCTCACGACGTTTCGACCATAACTCAAACGGTCATCTTCAGGTGTGTCGGTTTGCATAAATTTATTTTTAAACGGCGCATTTATTTATTTATAATAAAAAAAAAAACACGTTGGCGTCACGCGCAGCGATTTGAGAGGTAGCCAAGCAATGAACCGTCCGAGAGCACGTCCGCAGACAAGGTCGAGTGACACAATCAGTCGTGTGTGCAGGTGCCGGTTTGGCTGCTGGATAGCAAGCCTCTTGAAATATAGCGATGGCATGGGAAGGCATTAATTCAGCAGTGGATTGCTCATGGATAATGCTGATGATGCTGATGATGATGATGCTGATGATGATGGTGGTATATTGTCTGACACCAGCTGCACCTGCTGGGTGATGTTGTCCTTGCGAGTGTGGTTCAGCGCCGCCACGTAGCGCAGCACCAGCTTGGTGGCCTCCGTCTTGCCCGAGCCGCTTTCTCCGCTGGCGCCCGAATTCACGCACACCGGAACACGATGTTACACGTTCAATAATAATAATGATAATAATAAATAGTCGAGCGCATTTTTACAATTGCACAATTGTTATCCTGCGAGGACATCGTGAAGGCGCTCATGTTGCACGGACAGAGTCTGCAGTCGTTTCACAGTAGGGAGTGATGTTCAGCTATGTGTAATTCCAAATTGAGTAATTTGGAGGTGATTTTTTTCAAATTTGGCAAATGTAAACCATGACGCTGGAACACAATGGCCTGATCTTTTTTTAATGACATCATGGGATCTTTTAGCATCCACTATCAAGCAGATGGTCCATATTTGATGGTTAATACACCTGTAGTAATAACCAGGGGGGCCTGCGGGAAACAAACCACTTGCCAGATTCAAAACCTTTTTGCAACATGCTGCAAACACACTCTCCACTGGGCTATGTGACCGCCCCAGCACGGTAAAGGTGCTCTGGACAGATGTGTTTGTCAATCTATGGGCCACATGATACACCATCACAAAAAAAAGACAACTGATGTAAAAATAACTAATCCAGAGAAGGGTTTGTCAGACTAACAAGGCCGTCAGCGACCAGTGGTAGTTTCACCGTAAAATGTAAAGACTCCAAACGGAGATAAATTCGTCTGGAAGTTAATTATCTAAATGTAGATCATAAGATATGTTGTCTGTGGTCTATTCATGTTTATCATGTCAAGGGGGGGGGGGGTTAACATCAACTTTACAGAAACCACTGTGGTTTGGCAATTTCACACAGAATTTACTGGGTAGAAGCTAACTATCACAATGATGTGTTTGGAAGCATTCTGCATTTGTAGGGATCGGTATTAGTGTAGACAAAGAAATGGGGATGAAAAGACAACCATCAAAGATATTGTGAACGTTTTCGAACACCAACTTTATGTTATAATCGCGGTACTTATTAAATGCACGAGCTATGCAGAGTATTTGAAATGAAAAATATCAATCCAATTCAGAAAAAATTGTGAAAGCTGACATGCAGTGTGAGTTGAGCTTTCAACGCAAGGTTCACATAAAGCTGTACTCTAGTGGGACTTTTGTGCTTAATACATGAGCACACCTACCTTATTAAAATGCACTGATTTTCTTTGGCATCAACCATCTTCATGTAGGCTGCATTTGCAATAGAAAAGAGATGGCTGGAGAGAGAGAAAAACAGGAATCGTATTACCAGCATTAACACGGTAAACTTACGTGGAAAAGGGACACTACATTTACATGCTTGAGTCACATAAATGTTAATATTATGTGTTTGTCTAAACGTGCATGTAATTAGTAGCTGAATTTGGTGTTTGTCAAACCATCCCTTGTGCATTTTTCCAGCCTTCATAGGTGCTCGTTAACAGCAACTGTGTTTTCAGTCCATATGGCTAAAGGGAGACTCCTTTCCGTGTCTGGTTTTGCTTGAGTGTATACTTACCCAACTTTAAAACAAGGCTCAAAATATATTACGCACAGGTCATTGACTAATCTGACATGACACAACTATTTGATGTCTTTCATACAGATCTCGAGGCACCATGGATTTTAAAAAAATACCATTCATATTGTTTTTGGTCGTTATTGTCCAACCTTTTTTTAATTTCCATAAATAAATGGAGATGTTTATCGGAGGGATACAAATAAAGAACATTTATACCTGTGGCAGTTTTTTTTTTAAGGTGGACTGAGATCAAAATGAAAAGGTACATCGCCTTGTTCCTCCTTGTTGTTGAAGTGAGAAATAAATTTAAAAAATGGACCACTCTGTATGTTAAGTGAAGTGATTAAGGATTTGCATTTATAGGCCACTTTAAATAAATGCCTCAGCTACTCAAGAGCACCTTAAATCACATCTCATCTCAAGCTTGAGTGTCCTGCGGCAGTCTCACCAAGGGGACCCCGGTGGCAGCCATCACTGTGAGCCATGAGGTTCAGGCAACACCGGCCAGATTGTGGGCCTCAGTCTACCAGTAGGAGGCAATGTTGCTATCCGGCTTCCCAATTAAGTATTTGTGAGTAATCTATCTAATTTGACAAATTTTTACAGATAATGCTTGCGAAAAGTTGAAAGGCAGGCACCAAATTTAGGAATGCCATTACAAGGTACGGAGCCTGGGCATGCGATTCTCACGGCGGATTATCCCCCATCGCCTTTCCCTCGTACAGCAGCACCACCTCCGAGCTGTAGATGTCGTACATACGGTACGGGTTCAGGGACAGCAGGATGCTCCCAATGTACGTCTGTGGAGGAGGTAAAACGCGCGGGTTACGAGGCTCGTGTCAACAGGTTCACGCTCAGCACCTCTGGGCAATCACCCACAGTGTGACCTGCGGTGACCAATCTCAAAACAACGGATCACGTAACTACTCCGACTGTCCGCTTTGATCGTTTGCAGGCAGCATTTCAGATATTAATTAGGCTACTCCAGAAACCTTCCGCGGGTTCACCTACCAATCTCGACATAAATATATATAAATAACTTCTCACCATGCGTAGAAGGAGCACATTTGTCAATGTGCCAGTTTGCACAGGTTTGACGAAACTAATTTTCTGCCACCAATCAACATAAATCATAATTCCTGTGGCAAAATTGCCAAAACTGCCATCTATTATATGTAAATTGATATTCCCATTCAAATACTACACTGTTGTGGCATAATAGATCGTTTGAAATATAACATCAAAACTAATTAAATTAAAACTATTAATCATGATGGCTACCCAAATTTGCCCTAAAACAATACATGAGTTATCCCCTGGTTACGTGTTCCCCTGGTTAAATACTGTACAGGTTATTTACTGATTGACTCCTACATAATAAATACAAGTTTAAATAGTAGAGCATTACGTCAATTTACAACAATAAGAAAAATTTCAGAATCCTACATTGAAGTAATCTGGAACATTAATTGTACTGTATTGGCCCAATTAAAGCACTGATAAATGTCTTCTTTGGTTCTTTCGGTAAAGTCACGTAGAATGAGAATAAAATAATAAATTGATAAAATAAAATAACACAATAATATTCTCACGACGTTTCGGCCACAACACAAGCGGCCTTCATCAGGTGAAGGGAGCGAGACTGTCTGGTAGGACAGCGCTGGAGTGAGAGAGCCACGTTCAGATCACGGCTTTTAAGCTTAGAGTCGCGGCATCTCTTCAGAAAGGTGAGAGACTCGATTAGTTGAGCCTTCTTATCCCGAAGTCTGTTGAATGATCTTAAGGATGTGTTAAATCGAAATTTAACCGCCTCTACGGGGAGGGATTCCACACATCCTTAAGATCATTCAACAGACTTCGGGATTTAACCGCCTCTACGGGGAGGGATTCCACACATCCTTAAGATCATTCAACAGACTTCGGGATAAGAAGGCTCAACTAATCGAGTCTCTCACCTTTCTGAAGAGATGCCGCGACTCTAAGCTTAAAAGCCGTGATCTGAACGTGGCTCTCTCACTCCAGCGCTGTCCTACCAGACAGTCTCGCTCCCTTCACCTGATGAAGGCCGCTTGTGTTGTGGCCGAAACGTCGTGAGAATATTATTGTGTTATTTTATTTTATCAATTTATTATTTTATTCTCATTCTACGTGACTTTACCGAAAGAACCAAAGAAGATGAATCATTGCAGTCACGAAAGCTTTAAATCGAATTTTACACTGATAAATGTGTTGCTTTTCGTTTTAAAGTTTTCGTGACTGCAGGGATTCATATTCTTGGTTCTTTCGGTAAAGTCACGTAGAAGGGAAATAATGAAATAATAAAAATAAAACAATAACATTCTCACGACGTTTCGATTGCAACACAAGCAATCATCATCTGATGCAGCACAAGCAATCATCATCTGATGATGATTGCTTGTGTTGCAATCGAAACGTCGTGAGATTTGTATTTTTATATTTTTATTATTTTGCTAGCTGTACTACACAGCTTCGCCCGGGACTTGGATCCACCATGCCCGGCCGCCTTTGTCTCCCCAGTGGCGATGTTCACACACCACAACAGTTACTTGTTTGAGGCTGAGTCGATCTAGGGGAGGCCCAGGACCGGTTAAAATAATCGTCATCGGTGGTGGCCGTGAGCGGGAATCGAACTCGGGTGGCCGGGTTCGTAGCGCGGCGCGCTAACCACGACACTACAATGCGTTACGCTGCCACATGCGCGGGTCACGTGACAGATTTGACGTCACAGCTCACTTGCCGTGCAAAAAATAAATGCATTATTGAGCTCCCCCCCTCCCCCCCCCAAAAAGTGTATTTTTATAATTTTAGTATGGTGTACAGTCTGGAAAGTACCCACATGGCAAATTTCCAGTTTGTTGCATGTCGGGAAGTACGCTAAACATTTTGAACAGACACACATTCACAACTTTGCCTTTTATATATATGGAGATTATTTCCCTTCTACGCGACTTCACCGAAAGAACCAAGAATGTGTTGCTTCTTGTGCGATTTTTTTTTTTTAAATGTGCCGCAAATAGCCAAGGTGACGAGTGTAATAACAGCAGCACGCAACGGATGGTGGAACATGCCTGCCTGTAATCCATCACTTTGGAGGTGAGGTAGATGGATCACGCAGACATCATCGTGGTTACGAGACACCTACCTACCTACCTGCAGAGCGATGCGATGTATTTGTAGAAGCAAGAACGGCAAGTAGGATGCTGACCTACTGCAGCTGTGAAGGTTTTGTGCGCTATTCCCTCTCGTAGGCACACATCATTTGTTTGGAAATAAATATTTATATTCCATAAAATCAGCAAAGACAATTATTACGTGCAAAACAGACAATATGATTATCATGGACATTCATATTGCACGATTTATCTAAGTATTATCACAACAGGGCTACCCTAGTTTATTCTGGGTGCTACAGTTTCCTCCTATAGGCAAAATGCTAATTTGATTTTAAAAAACTCTCCTGAGAAAGTCTTGAAACTCAGTGGGACTATCCTGGGAAAAATACATACAGGAAAACCTTGGACTGCGAGCATAATTCGTTCCGGAAACGTGCTTGTAATCCAAAGCACTCGTATATCAAAGGACTCGTATATCAGTTGTGATCACGTGATGCTCGACAGACAAAGCGTATACGTACTGCTCGTATTGCAAGACCTCGCTCATTTATCAAATTAAAATTAATTTAAACATTTTGCTCGTCTTGCAAAACACTCGCAGACCAAGTTACTCGCAATCCAAAGTTTTACTGTATTTTGATTTATGATAAAATGCCTTGACCTTTCATCCACTGACTGCCTTTCCAGAAATCCATAACTCCTAAACCTTTGGACCTATTAAAATCTTGACCCCTCCAACTCACCCAATAGCCTCTTAACATTGAACTCTCAGACCCACAGAGCTCTAACCTATAACATCAATGTGAACCCCCCCCCCCCCCCCCCAGCCACCCCCCCCCCCCCCCCAATAAATAAATGAAAACGCACAGAAAATCAGAAGAAAAGTAATGGAGGTGATTTCATTGTAAATATTCAAAAGCACTCACATAGATGTGCTCGCTGTCGTATCGCTTCTTGAGGTTCAGCAGGATCGCTCCTTCGTGCAGGTCGCTGCATCACACACGGAAGTCGGTTGTTCACAAGGATGAGCTACTCCATTTATTGATTACAGCTCCTGTGTCTGTTCTATGTTTTATTAATTGCTCATGTCATGTCGTGCCAACGGCCGAGAGAAGACAATCTAAGTTGACTTCCCATTTGGTGTCGACTTATTAATTTCACCTGGCATTGGTAATATGGAGGTTTGTTTTACGTCTCTCCTTATTTGACCATGAAAGTCTAGGCAATCAGCTTTAAATAGAGTATAGTACGGTGATCAGCTTTAAATAGAGTACGGTAATCAGCCAATGAGTTTAGTTCTAGATTTGAAGTTTTCGTGACTGCAATGATCCATACTCTTTGGTTCTTTAGGTAAAGTCACGTAGGTAAAAAAGAATAATAAATACATAAAATTACATTAAATTAAAAATAATCAGAGATACCGACATCTGATGAAGGAAGCTTGTGTTGCCTCCGAATCGTCGTAATTTGATTCTTTTATTTTATTTATTATTATTTTTTACCTATGTGACTTTACCTAAAGAACCAAAGAGTATGGATCATTGCAGTCACGAAAACTTCAAATCTAGAATTAACCACCTCTACGGGGAGGAATCCCACTTATCTGTTAAAGTTTTTAATAGACAACAAGACAAGAAGTCACAGCTCATCGAGACGCTAGCCTTCCTCAAGAGATGCCGACACCTGATGAAGGAAGCTTGTGTTGCCTCCGAAACGTCGTGATTGTATTTCCATTTTATTTATTTATTATTATTTTACCTACGCGACTTTACCTAAAGTTTAGTTTCAGGGTAGAAGCAACCTGGGCAATTGAATGCTTTGATTTTGGGCCCCAATCTATCGAATTCCTTGGGTTTTATTTCTTAAGACAATGCCTCCTCTAACTTAACCACTATTTATTACTCTTACTACATGGCTGAATTAGTACTGTGCTGAGCCCCCTTTTAACCAACCCTCTGCCTCCTGCCATTCCTATCCCCACCAACCCATCTTGCTCAGAATTCTGCCTTCATCTTGCCTACCAAAGCCAAAATTTGGCATCAACAATGTCTTTACAAACACCTATAATGGCTTGGTTCTGCCTAATAAGTCTAAAATGTCATCTGGTACATAAGTCATGGAAATGTAATGCGTTGTAATGCATTTGCCAGTGCTTATTACATGCGAACGTTGCACATTTACATTCTAGGCTGCCTCTGTAATTGTGCGGTCCAATCCGTGTGTGCTCACCATGCCCACAAAGCCTCTGTGCCACCCTAAACAAACCCTACCCCTCTCTCTCCACTCTCGCACAGATGACCCAAGCCAAACAGATCACTTACACAGGTTAGTAAATTTAGGCAAGAGACCATGACCCACTCAAGCCTACCAAGACTGAGAAAAAGCAATTGTTAGGGCACGAATTGCTCCTAAACATTGTCGATTTTCTTTTTTCCCTTTTCTGGATCATCATCACACATATCATCAAACAGAGCATCATCACACAGCATCATCAGCATCCCTTACTCCAGCTGGGTGAGATCCTCTATCCCCACCTCCCCACCCGGATCCCGTGCTCGCAGGGTGCCTGGGTCCATGATGGAGTAAAGCTGGGGGCAGAAAGAGGGGCACACACACAAAGACAAATCCAGCATATTCCCGGCAAGTGCGTGGCTCATTGAGCAGTGCAGATTCACAAAGAGATGGACCACAGGAAGGGGATCTACACAGCAACAATGAATGGTACAAACACATAATTGACCTACAGTGTATTTACTTTGGGATTTATGCTAATAACCATTATATATATGAAGCAGGGTGGAAACCAGACGAAACTTTATTTTTGTGGGACATGCTAATTTGGAGATGACAACATTTGCCAGTGAACACAATGCCCAAGGACCAAAAACCACCATGGCAGAGCAGATAAAATAATTACGCTATTTTTTTAGCTTAACACAGTGGTGGGAATATACATTGGTCATACGAGTTCCGTCCTTTCAGATTTCTGTGTTGTTTTATAAATATATCGGTGAAAAATAAGTCGATTATACACCATCCCCCAATCCACCAACCCCCATCTCGTAATGCTCCGCTAAATCATGCCTCCAAAGCGCACACAGCACCAGGCAACCTGAATCACCCTAGAGGAGGCACAGAATAGGAGCTTCTGATGTTTTCAGGTCACAACATTTACAGCACAGTGAGCAAACAACTGCACCACTACTCCTCACAAAAAACAAATATCCCCCGTATAGCCTGTAACATATTGTTGGGGCAAGTGCTGTTAGCGAGCACCACTCCTCACATACATACACACACACACAAAGAGCAAAGGCATTGGTTGAGCATGTACAACTCTGTCAATCCACTGAAGGATGAAGGCTTCCCCATGCCATGTAAGTCATACAGGTTATTTTGACCTTGCTTCACCACATTGGTGAGTGCAGGTTGAAGAAGAGGGAGGCCCAAGACCGGATGAGATATCTCTTGCCACCCATGTATGCGATGGCTGGCAATCAAACTCAGGTAGACGGATTCATAGGGGCCGTCCATAAATGACGTCACGCGATTTTGTACGATTTTTGACCCCCCCCCCCCCTTTCATCGCACGGCGTCACAAAAAGTCAGACCCCCCCTCAAATATGACGTCACAAAGCTCTGCCCCCCCTCCCCCAAAAAATAAAACATGCTTCATGCTTCAAATCGCTTTAAACTATTGTCATTGTAGTGCGTATTTAATGTGGCGCTGCACTCTGATGTTGTAGGAGAAAACATTTATTAAAAAGTCTATTTAATTAAGTAGAACGTGTCTATATTTATTTGAAGTTGCGCATTTTCATGTGACGTCACGTTTCTCAAACCCCCCCATCGTCACAAATGTCTGACCCCCCCCCCCATAGGTGCGTGACGTCATTTATGGACGGCCCCATAGTGCAATGTGCTGACCACTATGCCACCGCTCCAAATCCTGGATTTTATACACATGCAAAACTTCCACCACTCACTCAGACCCTTTAACAGGTAACAGTACTACGGAAGTAAATGACAAGTATGATGATCGTGCTTTGTGTGCTGCTGGTAATGTGGCATGGAGCAGTCTACCCACTGACATTAGACTCGTATCAACACTAGAGTATTTCAAGAGACAATTAAAGACACGCATGTTTTACCATCTCTCTTCATTTTGTATACCACCCTTAAGGTGTAGTTGTCGTGGTATGGTGCCAATCAACTCATCATCATACCCACCACTTATCTGACCATGAAGACTTTTCTGTAGGAATGATCTGTCACTTAAATTCCAATTGGTAACAATAGACTGCTGAGTCTGTAGTTTGAGAGCCCCGTCTGGAGGCATGTCACTTTTGGCTGGGTGTCATTGCATGACCGAAAAAGAGATGCCGCTTTGGCATGAGGCCCAGCCAGATCCTTATTGCGTGATACTCACGTCAGGAGCACCTCAGCGTTACATCACATCACAGCCTTGTTCAGGGCATCATGCATGGCTCCCTCAATTATTCAGCATTGACAAGCAGACCCTATTTTATGGACGAAATGTAATCCGAGGGCACCGTATTACGGCAAAGCAGGGAAACAAGTAACACAGCAAACCCTCCCCTACTCCCCCACCAACCGTGCATCACACTCACACACAAACGAGCTGTGTAGCAAAAAAAAAACAGATTGATCGTTATTTGTAAATGTTTTAAAGGGGACATCCCTCGCTTTGAAAGTGTTTATCAAAAATATTAAGTCCTGCGCGTTAAAACCCGTGCCGTATTTTAAAAATGGAGGCATCATTTAGAACAACTGTTCCAGGACGTGAATGAGAGCTTCGTCCTTGTTACTCGCAGGGTAGGGCAGTACTACTATACATCTAAATATGTTTCGTCCATCCAAGCTATTGGGCTTTTCATACCAATATTATCCAGCAATGTGTAGTTTGTAGCTGCTATCTAAATTAATTGGTAATTCATATAAATTGTAATTACAATTCCATCAAAATAAATTGAGCAAAATGTAAACCAACTGACAGCAGCAGTGAAACAGTGATAGACAACTGTGAACCTGTTTCGTCCTAATTGTCAATTACTCCATCACTGCTGCTGTTAAGAAAAGTGGTCTTAGGCAGCAGAGGTTGCTTAAATTTACGGAAACGTCACCTTATATATATTTTACCCTTTTGAGGCAACGTTATTGACGAATATATTAAGATTTGTGTTCATTGTGTTTGTGAACCTCTGCGAATACAGCATCACCAAACAATAAAAAACCCCATATCAACAATGACGACAAAACTGTGTAGAAGAGTAGCTTTACTCTGTTTTTTTTCGGTAAAGTCACGTAGAAAGAGAAAATAATCAATTAAATAATAGCATACGACGTTTCGATTGCAACACAAGCAATCATCATCAGGTACGAATGAATGAGAAAAAACCGAGTAAACTTAGCAATATAATGCAATACAACACAGAGAGTCGGCTAACATAACAGTCAACACCCTATAGTAATAGGTTTTACCCTTTTAACTGGCACAAAAACTGACACCTTTATTCAAGGCATCATGTTTGCAATAACCACAACACAAGCAGTCAAAATGCAAACAAAAGAGACGCCTTTTGGCGTCTTCTGGTCCAACACCAATGGAGACTAGGCTCTAAGAAAAGCTGTCTCGGGTGTGGACCAATCAAATTCAAGGACTGCATATTATTATCAGAGTTTTCTCTTTTGTTTGCATTTTGACTGCTTATGTTGTGGTTATTGCAAACATGATGCCTTGAATAAAGGTGTCAGTTTTTGTGCCAGTTAAAATGGTAAAAACCTATTACTATATCTTGTTACTAGCAAAGGAGGTCTCAATGTAAAAGTCAACACCCTACCTGGTGGATTATGTTCTTCCAAAGATTGCTCTCTCTTAAATTTAGCAATATTTGGAAGAACGTAATCAACCAGGTGGGGTGTTGACTGTTATGTTAGCCGACTCTCTGTGTCGTATTGCATTATAATGCTAAGTTTACTAGGTTTGTTTTCTCTTTCATTTGTACCTGATGACGATTGCTTGTGTTGCAATTGAAATGTCGTATGCTATTATTGAATTTATTATTGTCTCTTTCTACGTGACTTTACCGAAAGAACCAAAGAGTCATTCCTGCAGTCACGAAAGAGCCAAAACAGTAATTTTGCAAAGCCTGATGTCAGAAGTACTGGTGCACCTCTGTGAAGCAGTATCTCGGATGTAGAGGTGGTGGTTTGTGCAAACATGCACTTTTGTGTTATTTGTTCTCCAAGCCTCAGCAGAGATACAAGAGATATATATGCACCATTATACGTGCTCGATATTTTCGAAGTTACAAGGCAGCGTTGGTTAACGGCAATGGTGTCCTGGTGTTTTCGGCATCCGTTTCTGTACCACTGCCAACACAGTCCCTGGACCACTAAAATATAAGTGAGCGATTTATTCAGAAGAAAGGTAGAAGAGAGAGAGATGTTTTCAAATAGAGACGAGGGAGAAGAGATGTGTATTTTAGAAAAGACTCATGACCAAGATAGGGTCAAAGTTCAATGCAAAATCCAACTACCTCATCAGAGAAGTAGTCCTTCTCTGTGTGCTTCTCTCTCTCCTGGGTAACTCGTCTTCGGCGGCTGGAGGGCCGCTGGATACTCGCCGAGTACGAAGGCTTGCGGTCACGATACACGGTCCACTTGGCCAGGTTATCCGACGTGTTACCCGGCAGCCCCGTGTCCCCAAAGTTGCTGTAGCGATCGTCGCCGCTGCCGCTTGCCGGAGCCCGAGCCCAGTGTGTGTGCACGTCCGCGCTGATGAGTTCCTGCTGCATTCGGCCACTTTGTCGGGTTCGGTTCGCTCGGGGCATCGCGAAAGAATTCCCGCCACCCCTCACGTTAAAGTCATCATCGTCCTCCTCCTCCTCCTCCGCGTCATCTCCCTCGCTCCAGCTCTCAACCCATCCGCCGTCTTCATCCTCCTCTCTGAAGCGCTCCATCCTAGAGCTCGTGTGATAGCCACTGTGCTTACTTTGCCCTGGCCGGAAGCTCCCTGGGTGATGCCTTCTCCTTTCTCTTTCACGCTGCGATTTGCCGTATTGCTCCATATCGATCCTCTGCCTTGCAGAGGACACCGATCTGTAACTTCCCTGATGGTGGTGGTACCTCATTCGCTCATCTTCTTCAAAGTCGCCATATGGGTACTCATCATCGAGGTGTTTAGGCATTGTTGAGTGTGACCTGCGGCTACCGGACCTTGTTCTCCTGTCGTCCTCCTTGAGATACTCGTCTTGGTCTTGGGAGTAGACGTTTCGCATCATAGAACTCAATACAAACTTCCCAGAATTAGATCTAGATCCACTATCAGGCACCAAATGTCTACCACTGCCCCTGTGCTTACGTCCAGACCCCAGACACTTCACTCCAGCATAGTTTCTCATCTCTGCCCAGGGCAGGGGGCCCTCTAGCTGTGCCTTGGCTGACTTCTTCCTGAAAATCCCAATTGTTTTAGAAACCTTACCGAGATTCATTTTGCCTTTTTTCTTCGTTGAAACTCTCTTGGTCATTGCTCCCAAAAACTGGCCCATCACAGAGGTTCTATTCA